AAGATCATGTTTTCCACCAATCTTGACAAATGACTTAGGCTTGCTTCGAGATTGAAACCTAGTCCTTGAGGTCTAGGAAGTGATCCATCATGGCAGAACCAGCTTCCTGATTATTCCATTGTGCGGGTCATCGCTATGAAGATTTTTTTCATTAGCTGTACTTTCAAAGGTGGAAGTGCTTTCGAATCTCTAGAATGTTGTCCAGACCGACCGCGACTGTGGATGCCCTGTTGTCCCAGGACTATTACGGTCGCGGATTTCTATTTTCTTGGTTTGAAAACCAATGCCCATGAGTTGCACATTTAGTACGGTGTGACAGGGCTGGCTATGATTTATTGACCCTTTACGAAGCCCAAGTGATGGTGTCTGCCCTGATGGAGCACAAGCCGGTTATCCTACGCCGTATGATATCTTCCCGCAGAGCCGCAAGTTCCCAAGTCCGCCAGTTTGAAGCAGTTTGGCGTGAGATACGCCTATGCCCAAAGCAGGCTACGATTTCAGAATCGAGAGTTTAGGATTCGATGCGGTCCGCGCACTATGTAGCAATGTTGTTCTACATGCTTCTTTGGGGATTTGCAGAGCCAGATGGAGTTTCATCAGAATCTATCGTAATTTCATTGAGTGTTCACAGGTCCCTGAACCACGCCCCTGTCTCCAGTCCAAAGTTCCTAGATTAAAGGTTGACAACATGAAACGTGAGGAGCCTGAACGTGCGATCGAGCATGAAGAAGCTTCACGGATTTGTTGGTCAGTTCGGGCTTCAACATCGAATGTTCCTTGTTTGAGTGGTTCCCAGCAAAGTGCTGCTCATCTGAGTTGGTTTTCAGGGTGCACGTTGTCCTTACTGCCCTCTCGTGCATACTGTTGGGACCCGCCGTATTTGTCGGAAGACCGCATCCAGAACCTAAAGCCTCAGCACTTTCACCCCCAAATGCTAAACGACAAACCCTAAGCCCCAAAACCTAAACCCCACACCCTAATCGACAAGACCTTGAGCCAAAATGAATCCAGACAACGCTGGACACCAACCCTAAACTCTTCTCCACGGTTTGTGCCTTCGCATCTTGGTGGTTAGTGGGGATGAAGGACTGGACTATCGGAACATGTTTCTGGGGGGTTACATATTGGGCTCCTCGAGGGTTTTTCCTCCATTCCCTACACGAACCACCTGTTTGTTTTGGGAACATCTTGCCTCCGAGAGGCTTGAGAAGCCAAAAAAGGTTTGATGCGCGCGCATGGGTACTTCTACAGACAGACTGTCTCATAACACGGCCGGAAGCTTGATGTGGCCTGGAGCGTGTGAGTCTCATCGACATTGCAACGTGATAGCAATGAGCAGCGGCTGCATGGGAGCTGGCCACATTCAAAAAAGGTAGTTTAGGGTTTAGGGTTTAGGGTTTGACAGAACATGGTACATGACGTGTCTTTGAAACCTCGTGCATAAGCGGGAAAGGGCCGTCATCGTGCCAGTGACAGCATTGCATTGGCCAGCAGCAGCAGCCCCTTCAGTGTACTACTAGAATTTTTGATACATTTCGAGAAACAATCCCTTCGAAAGTTGACTTTGTCTGTCTAGTGGATGACAGGCGAAAATTGACGATTATAGAAACCATATTGCGTTCCTGGAACTTACGAAAACTTCTCCTTTTCTCTCGGAAGAGACTCGAAATTTTCAGCACATCTGCCCCTCGTTTGGCTCAGGCATTTGGCGTAGTAAGCTTGCATTTTTCGGCACGTGACATGGTAGCTAGTGGCCGGTGCCTTGGAGCCATTTTTTGTAACGGATTCGGAATCCGTTCAAAGATCAATAGTTCTTCTTGTTCTAGAAGCAATGCTATGCGTGTAGAAGGAGTTCTAGCAGCCAGAATGACAGCAAGCATGATGGAACAACTGCAAGTTGGATAAGTCAGGGTAGCTGAAGAAAAGAAGGCTTTTGTGCCTTTGCCAAGCGGCGGGCCCACGATGAGCCAAGCACTGGTTGCGAGATCAGGGGCCTTGCTGCGGCAGGCGAGTTGACCTTGCTGACGTGATGAGAGTTAGGAGCCCGTTCATATGTAAACCTCCTAAGCTATACAATCAATTTTCTCTGTTATCTCCTCTGTGCGCTGTACACACGGCGACTAACCAGTGTCTGGGACATATTAGAATGATTAGATAAGATATGCCTTTCAGGTTGCTGTTTTTGCAGAAGCACGCAAGCTTGTTATGATGATGTCAGCCATCTTCCTTGACAGGGTTCACCTGAGACTCCAAGGCCAACAGACACCTAATCGCTCCTTGAATTGCAGGGGATTTGTAAACTCATTGAATCGGACCGGGTAGGGAGTTTTTGATGCCTTCACATGATAGAGGCTGCCCTAATTTTTAATCGCAAAAACAGTGGAATCATCGTCTCGAGGCATGCTTTAAGCTCGGAAGCTCGGAGCATTAAACTCCAAAGCCTGACCTGCTTCTTGCCAGAGGATGACCCCGATGCAGCTTTGGAGCCACTCGTTTCGAACGAGGGACTTTCCGTGCACCTACCCACTGTTCCAGGTTGTCCATTTTTTAGGGCTTGGGGATTTGTGGAGACATGCTCGTTTCGGATAGCCAAGTGTCTGCAAGACCGTTTTGGACATAACCCTGAAACCTAAAGCGCTAGTAGCTGCAACCCTTACAATTCAGGCTTCCAAGCTGACGTGCGCATGTAAAACCAAATGCCTTCCATGGCACCAGTAGTAGCCACTGATATCTGTAGATGCATCAGTTGTAGTATGTGGAAAAGCCCATAGCCCCGCAGCAGGTTGCCAACAAGAGCACGCGGAATTCGCGAAAGGAGCTCCATACTCTGTAGAATCCCCAGTTTCGACCCCACAATTCCATCCCCAAATGCATCTAACGTCCCCTTTAAACCTAAACTCCAACCCCAACCCCCAAACCTAAACCTAAAACCCTAAACTCTGAAACTCTCAGGTCATGGACCCTAATCATCCCAAACCCTAACATCCTTCATTTCCCAGGGTTTAGGGTCCAGCATGTACAAGAGAATGTTGGGGGGGTTTATTCAAAGGACCTAAACCTGAACCAGCCGAGGTGTGCAGTTGAGGCTTTGGAGACTATCCGCGGCGAGGGTGGCGACAAGGCCCCGAGACAAATGATTGGTCTCCAAGTTAGACTGGTTCTCAGTTTTATTGTTCTGGCTACTGGATTTTATTTCTAGTAGTATTGGTAGGGGTATTCACTGATTACTAGAGGTATTCTGAGTATACTTGCTTATTGTCACTACTTTCAGTCTGTTTCTTTGCCGTGGTAGAACTTCCAGGCTTAGGATGTTCGTTGTTTTCTTAGATACGTATTTGCAGATGATGTCTCCCCGCCCTTGATTCGATGCGGGCGTGCTGGACTTGAAGAAGATGTGTTCCCCACGCCCTGTCACCCATTTCCTGGAGTGCCCAACAGCATTGTTTCAGTGGCCAACCTCAGAGGTCCATCGCAGTTTTCAATCACGAAGGTTCCCTGAAGTGCCCCAAGCCCAGAGTGTCCCTAGAGAGAGCTCGACCTACAGCATGTTGGAGGCCTGTCTCACAGGATGACAAGCATTCTGGAAGACATCTCAGGTGCGAGGTCAACGGTTGGATTCGGGGTCCAACATGGGGTTTTCCATTTGGCCTCCGAACATTACCCTAAACCTTAAAAGCCTAACCCGAGTATGGGGAGCCCTCAAAAGGGGGGACCACATTATGTTAGAAAAAGGCTGCAGGTTCTCATGATGCCCCGCAGCTTGCTGATTCAGCAGGCTTGGGAAAAGCTCAGGTTATAGCCCGATGCCATCGTATTTTTTCTATTAGCGGTTGTAGGTTACAAGTAACACCCGTGTGTCATGATACAGGTGCCTGACTCTCCATTTGACTCCTCGTTTTAAACGTAAACCCTATACAACTTAAAGAATCCCTGGATATCATGAGTTTTGACTATTAAGGCCCCTCACCCCTAAATATTATCGTGGTCTCCACTGTCTCTTTGGGGGCAATCCATGATGAGACCCTAAGCTCTAAACCCTGAACCCTAAACCCTAAATCCTAAGCCCTAAACCCTAAACCCCAAACCCTAAACCAGAAACCCTAAATCCTAAACCAGAAACCCTAAATCCTAAAGCAGAAACCTTAAACCCTAAACCCGAAGCCCCGCAGTCCACCTGGCCAGGCAGTAGAGCTCTCAGCGCTCTGTGCCTGCGTTGATGCCCTGGTGGCCTTGGGTGATGACCTGGCCTCAGCCTCTTTATTCATTTGTACAATAGTCTAAACTCCTTGAAAAGGATTATATAGGGGATTATATAGAGGACTACTATAGGGGCTATTAAGGGGGATACTAGGAGTTTAGACTATAGCTCATTTGGTAGTTTCCCAAAATAGACCCCAATATAGACCCCAAAATGCTATAATCCTTGTTTTTGGGACCCCCAAAAATGGTACCCCTAATGTTGGGAAATTCCCGTTTGAAGGCACGAAAGGGGCCCCAAGACCCCAAACTTCTAGCCACAAGCCTGGGACATCCTCGGGGAGATATTTCTTTTGGATATCATGGCGCGACAAATCTGGTCAAAAGTTTCTCATACGGTCCCGAAGAGGGACCTTGCAGGGAGTTAGGCACTGCATGGCCCTCAGAGTTCGTAAAAGCGTTTCCGAGAACTCCAAGGCAACTAAAGTATGTTCCAAGCCCTGTTCTGACTAAATATGTCTCCACATTCAGCAATATGACAAGATGTCAGCCATGTCGCATGGAAATGCTGCCGCAGCAATGCTCGTCATCGGCTGCTTTACTGAATACGTAATTCGCTTCAATATCTACGTCTTGCCCTAGCCCAAAGACATACTGAGGCCACAAAGGCAGCGTCTCGGGCAGAGGAGGCAGTGAACTCTCGTGATTGTTCTGCTGCTGCCTGTGACGGTGGTAGTCCTTTCCCAGCGTCAATGTTGTGATTGTAACGATGCTATTGTGGCAGCTTGCGACAGGCTGTTGCCATGGCGAATGCTTTCGAGAGCAAGCTGTCCAAGGACCGTTCTGGCCTGTTTCTGCGTGAAAGGGTTGAGGGTACGAGTTTTAAGCTAATGCCGGGAGGGTCAGGTAAACACAATAAACAATTTGGCAAGCCTAGTTATCTCGATTATTGAACTACTAAGTGTCCCCGACCCTACAAGTAGCGTTTCTAGGGTTTGGGATGAGGTATGTTGGCGGCCGTTGGTTTTGAGGTTATCGCAAGATACTAGCCAGACCCTGGCACTTACTGGTTTCTTCTAGGGAACGGAAGCCCCGACAGAATCCCCAAGACTGTAGTTTCTATTTCCTCTTCTGTTCCTTCAACTCACTGCTAACAGCAAGCAGGGCCATTGCCATGCCCTCGCAGGCCGTTGCACTGCTGGCGCTTGTGAAGGCGCAGCTCATGTCACACCAGGCCGGAGCTCGAGCTTTTCCCCAGGCTTTACCATGGCTTTCTAGGATCGTCAAAGATATCGCGATTGAGCTTCTCTGCCTTCAGCCGTGGCCTCCAGCTACCATGGACTTCCCAATATAGCACACCCCAGGTTGCTGATTGCATTTAGGGTTGAGGAGCGCTGCTTGGTGCCTTAGATCGTTAGAGCCATTGCAACGATAGACGTTGTGTCCAATGAGCCTGGACCTACAGTACCACGAGGACCTCTGTCCATGCAAGCCCAAGGCATCCAAGGACGCGCTGTCCGTGCTTCGGGAAATTGGGGCGACTTGGGGCGAGACAGTGCGGGGCCTCAGGGTGAACCCAGATCCATGTTGTGAACCCCAGGGCAGAAAACGTGCATGTAGATAAGTGTTTTTTTCTTTCGTCTGAAGAGCTTTGGAAAAGGTGGAAGTTTGGCCTTTGCGTTCACGTTGTTGTTTAAGCATAGACTGAAGGCATTTGTAAGGCATCCAGTAGCCTGGTGCTGCGTTGGGTTTGCCCAATCGCAATGGCTGCCGAACCTTGAGAAATCTCCACATATTGCACGTTATGTTTTGGAGACTTGCGTGGTCGAACTTGTCTGAATTACATTGAGCCAATCTAGCAAAGTTCCCGGCTAGCGTGCCAGTCGCAAAGCCATGGATGAGTCCAAAGGCTTTCATAGTTGCCTTGCTGTACTTGTCACGCATTCAAATAACGGGACTGGTAAGAATGTAGGCTAGAGATGAAAAAGGCCCATGATTGATCGTTTCCCCCCCTGACGTTTAAATACACCTTACCCTCTACTATTAGCTATGTTCCGCAACATACATAAATCTATACGCTTTTTTGTCTCCGAAATATGTGGTGCTAGCGGGGTAATTTGTTCTTTTACGGGGAGGGCATCTTCATGATCAATGCCTGCAATGTACGCCACCAATATCCTATACTCGCTAAGAAGTATCGTCGTGGATAATATTACTAGTGTTGCATTATATGCCTACTCGTGTCGCTAGTCATGGCAGCGCCCGTACCGCGACACCATCACCCAGAACTTCAAACTTTACTTGAGGGCTTCTTTAAGCATGGGGTAAGCATGGGGTACTATCCCAAATCCTATATGTACAAATTTCCCACATGCTCAGACATCATATATTATTTCTATAGTGTTACGTGCTGTCAGAAAACCCTTGTGGAATTCCCTGTGCGCTTGAAGTGCTCCGGACAAAAGCGTTTACAATTCCGATTTTTGGGGTCTTCTCTTATAGTTAAAGGCTAAACCTTCAATCCCGAAACCAAACCCACAACTGCACCCTACACGCTAAGCTACAAAGTTCTAAACTTTACTATAGACCCTAAAGCATACAACCCAAACCGGGTTTAGAATTTGGTGCTGTTCCAGGCCTTACTGTTGGGCCTCGCACAGGAGGGTGCAAAGGACCTCGCTTCAATGTTGGTCAAGGGCTACGGGTTCAGGGTCTAGGGTTCAGGGTTTAGGGTAGAGTTTTCGGTTTGAGGTTTAGCATGTGAAGATAAGGTCTACAGGGAAGTTTAGGGGATGTACAGCGGGTGTGTAGGGCAGTTTTGTGAAGGACGTAGGATGCATGCAAGTTTCGTCTCAATATGCCGTTATTTGGAATTAAAAGCCTGAAATGACATCCCCTCATTGTTTCAAACCACAATCCCCATGAAGCACCATACAATTCAAGTTCTCATTTCATTTCAATCGCTCCATTTGATTCTCCATCAGGGTAAGAAACAGCTCAGCATGGTAGGTTGTGAAAATCACGGTTCTTTTTTTGGTGCGCAATGTCATGCGGCCCCTTATTTATATGTATCTATTATATGTATTAAGCCTTGAACCCTAAACCCATACGGAAAACAGATAAATAATCACTTAGATATAAGTATATCTATATATATATATATATAGATGGGGTACCTCAAGAGGGACCACAATATCCCGTCGTGTGCCCGTTGAGGAGGCGGGTCAGGCCGCAGCTCTCCTGGACCAGGCCAAGCGAAAGAAAAACAGGCCGGTTTAGGGTTTAGGGTTTAGGGCTTGGGGGTTTAAGGTTTAGGGCTTAGGGGTTTAGGGTTTAGGGCTTAGGGGTTTAGGGTTTAGGGCTCAGGGGTTTAAGGTTTAGGGCTTAGGGGTTTAGGCTTTAGGGCTTGGGAGTTTATGGTTTATGGTTTAGGAGAGAGAGGTTTAGGGTTTGAAGTCTGCAGCTTTGGTTTTAGGGCTCGTCTTGCCGTTAAGAAATGGTTTAGGGTGTAGGGTTTAGAGTGTAGGCTTCAGGATTGGACAACAGTCCCGCATGACCTTACATACCTCAAACCTGGAATTTAGGTATTGTATACCTCAGGTCAGGTTTTTGTCTATTAGCGACGTGGGGCCTTCTCAAAACAGGGCACCGCTGGGAAGATATGGATCAATCGGAAGGCTATGAGAGTTTCACGCAGTGGGGTTGTTCATCTTCCTTTGACCATCCGGTGAGTTGCCTGTGAAGGTTTAGTAATTCCAAACATATCGAGGTGGAGTCTTGAGAGGCCTTACAGGGTCGATAGAGTCTGTTGTATGTTTTCTTGAGGCGTACTTCGTGCTGAAAGTAGCACATCTTAACTGTTGCTGCCATCATCATCTCGGCCGCCTCTACTACTGTTGCGGCTGGTACCGTTCAATGCCTTGGCTCTGCTACTGCTGCTGCTCCTGCCAGCGGCCCGACTCTAGTTTCTGTCGCTGCTAGTCCTGCCTCTGCCTTGCTCTGCTGCGGTGGCTGCTAAAGCTAATGGTGCTGCTGCTGCTGTTGCTGCTGCTTCCTCTGCCTTTTTCTACTTCTGCGACTGAGCATGCCTGCTATTGCCACCGCCACGTCCTCATCACGGTGGTCACCGCTGCCACGATGGCGACGATGGCCAACTCTGTTAGCAAAACATGTCGTGTAGACTTTTGCAAAGGAAAGCACCGCCTTGTCATGGAGCACCCTGCCTGATTTTAGCATGGAATTCTGTAAAACTCGTTTTCAAGATGACAATGGTCTCCATAAGGAGTTTTGTATTGGGGTTTCAGATCAGCTTGGGGAGTCTTGTTTATTAAAAGAGCTGTTGCAAGGTGGCAGGAAGCGTATGCGCTGCTGGTCACTGTTCTGGGCTCACTACCCAAGGCTGGAATTGTTTGCTTCAGGGGAATGAGGGTCAAAGGCTTGAACTTGATTCCCCGCGGGTGTGTGCTTTTGGCTGGAGGGGAATGTAGCAATGTGAGCATCGAGTCAGGACGAAATAGTGTCCTGATGCGTATGTCCACATAGAACCCCCCAACACTCCGTGATTTGCTGAAGACTATGTCCAGCTTGGCTGCATCGCGAGATGCAGTCCACTTGGCATCGTTGGATCCTACCATGTATGCTTGCATCAGGATGAGCTTCCCTGTAAGTATCAACGCAAAGAAATTCAGGGTGTGCCTTCGTACACCAGGGCCTGACAATCCAATTCACGATTTCACGTAAAGGGGCTGGGTTCCAACTTTCGGGTAGCGTCTTTTCTTTGTTGTTTGTTCGCTTAGTTGCTTTGTTGCGGGCTGGCTACATTATGCCAGCCGTGAGCCGATCCGATCAGTGGCTAGATTTTGTCAAAAGATCCGACGAAGACAAAGCGACGAATGTTCCCACCATGATACTTCAGAAGCTAGGCCCCGCGTTCTCTGATTTCAGGTAACTTGCCAGGCTTGAGTTCAGATTCCTGAACTCAAACGGAGCTCAGCAAGTGACTCTTTTGTTGAGCAATAGTTTTCATAGGGACAGCAGGAGCCTCAACCACCGAGCAATAATCTAGTGTCCTTCTGACGTCAAATTGGTGTAGGAAGAAGAAATGCTCGAGAACCAATCGTCTACCAAGCCCTGAGCCCCAAACCCTAGACCCCACACTCTCCACGACAGTAGCTTGCATAAACCGCTCTATAACCACAGTTGTCACTTCATGTTCCATTTTCTTTCCCGCTTCATTCTCCATTATTGGAGCTGTATGGCAGGGAGCGCCGGTGGCCACTGCGCCACGCTCGGCATCACGGGCAGATTTCACCTGTAATGGTTGTACGGTTTAAGGTTGCAGAGTTTAGGATTGTTGGGGATAGGGCTTCAGGGTTTAGGGGTAATCTTCATGACCTGTCATCGTGCGGTGGGGGTCCGTGAGATTTGTGAAAAATCTGACGCCGTTTATCAATTTGGTTTGGCACCGACCCGTAATTAATAATCATGGCATAGCTGAATACCTAGAGACTTTTACGTGCATTGTAGTTACTTGTCCTGCGCAGGCCTAACCCAAGGCATGAGCGCCTTTCCTCTCGTTTCTAGAAGAAAGCCTGCTCCCAGGCCATGCCCCAAGAGCAGTACCTAAACAAATAGCATCAGCATCAAAATGTGTGTACATCAGCCATTGAAAGAAGGCTAAGTCAACAAAACCCCAAGTCCTGAAACCCTAACTTGGCTAAGGCCATTGCCAATTTCTTGACCTTTGCCAAGCAGCATGGTATCCTGGGCGATGTTTGGTAAGACGTTTTCAAGTTTCATGTGCCAAAGAAAGTTGGTCCTTTTTGGGAGTCCCTGTGCAAGGATAATTGTATTTTGGCGTATATATCGGGGCCACTATTTTATGGACAGTACCATGTGCCAAAAACCTTTTGAGACCGTGGTCAAGTGGCTCGCATAAACGCTTCGAGGGTGGTTTGCATTCGTGTTCAAGGTTGAACACGTGAAAGAGAGCTGGTGTTGACTTTGAATTGCCCTGCAGAAGCCAGATGCTCGTACAGATGTACAGGCACACCGGCAATGGTAATCCTAAGTAGGAATGCAAATACTGGATGTAATTTACAGTACCATATTAGTAGCGACACTTTCGCATCCCCGAATCCAGTTCAGGCTAGCTTGCTCTGTTCGAATATGTTTGGCAAGAAATGATTCCCCAACAGTGGTTCTCTTCTCACTCATTCTTCCATTTAGAGGACCTCGAAAAGTCGACTTGCTCATCCTTTACTTTTGCCGCAGAAAGCCCAATAGACGGTGTAAAGGAAGTTCCAAACATTGCATACTCTGTTCCTTTTCCAGGGGACTTTCCAAAGGAACCCTGAAAACACGGCAAGGTGTTTACGTGGGAGCCACGGACGCTGCCTCGGGCATTCGGAGGCCTAAAAAGGGAATGTGGGCTGAGGGTTCAGGCACGGCGGCTTCAGGGTTGCAGGGTTTGGGCGGGTTCAGCGGTGTTAGGGCTGAGTAGCACCAGTACCAGCCTAGACTCTCCCTCACCCACCAAGCTGTGTTCGCGGAGCCAACAGGCTGCACTGCTACGGGGGGACGATGCAGGATTTGGAGGAGCAGCCGGGTAAAGTTTCGAAGAAAATCACCAAAAGGTGATGCAAAGAGACTTCTTAGGTTCCCTGCGTTTCTTCGAACATGTCTATGAGAGCTGGGCAGCATTGGGTATTTACATCGTGTCAAGTACATTGGCTTGCATAATCTTGCGTATATCCCTGCAACAAGTCCCGGTTGCCTTGGCCAAGGCTCTACTATAATCCGTATATACTCCCTATATAACCCCTATATATGTATATATATATATAGATATCCTCAATAGCCCATCCCAAGGAAGGTAGTAGGATTTCGAGTGATGAGTAGATTCATCTGAGTGATTCCTCAGTGGCTCACGCAGGATCATGCAAACCTGAGGTTTTCCAGACTGCTTGTTGTTAAGGATCCAAACATTATTATAGTATGCCCTAGTATATGGTGGTATATTATAGTAGTAGGACCCCCCCCCTGTGCTCCTTGTCAGGGGTACGTGGTTGGGGAAAGTGCTTTAGTATGGCCAATCATGCAAAGATGTCTGAGAGTTCTGATTACTTGCCTCATGAAGGACTCTGTACGTGTAGGTGGGAGCATGAGAGGCACCTTGAATTTCCTGTTGAGAGTGATTTTTTGTGTCAAACATGGTCACCTGATCCCTGAGCGCACAAACCCAACTGCAAGAAAAACTTGGACCTTGACCCATCACAATTTTGAGAAGTCCTCATGTATGCAGGACATCCATGATCGCCTGGGCGCTGCCTCCAAATCCGGGAAGAAGTCCTTGGTCACGCAATTCAGGGATTCAATGAAGGGCCTAGTTTTTAGTGGGAGGTTGTGGCCTACGTTGGCAGACATGGCACATCAGGGACGAGATCTCTACAAACGCTCCTGGGATGCCGAAGATAGGCCATGTATACTCCCTGGTTGAGGTCCCTACCCAGAAGACCCCCGAAGGGGACTCCTAAACCATAAGCCCTAATCCCTGAACCCTATATAACCCCCTATAAGCCCCATAAATAACTCGCTGCTGTTGAGTGCGGATTTTGCCGAGATCCTGAACACTTCCTCCCTGAAATTCTGCAGGCCCAAACCCCGAATCCCCATCCCTCAATCCATACATTCTTGACGCCTGAAGAAGCTCGGCCTTAAACCTTTAAAACCCAGATCCAGTTGTTAGCTGACCCTGAACCCTAAACCCTAATCCCTAAACTCTAAACGCTAATCCCTGAACCCTGAACCTTAAGCCCTAAACCCTAAACCTTCAACCCCAAATCTGTAGTATTTTATTTGGGGATACTATGGTACCCAATATAGAGTAAGATTCTATCCTCCTTTTGGGTATAGTATTTTAT